TAATAATTATTATAAAGAAAGGTCATTTATTGTATGAAAGAAATTATATGAAAAACAAAGGAAGGAAAAACATGTTTACTGGAATAATAATAGAAAGTTTAGTTTATGTCTTCGATGTCATTGCAGAAATCAAGAAAACTTAGCGGAGTGCATTCAACATTATCAATGAGGTTTGATTATTTTCCTTTTCTTTAATGATAAATTTGACAAAGATGTGCAGGTGTGTGATAGGTCCTTAACCAGTGGCATGTGTTACCACATCTATAACAAGAACCATCATATGTATGTGATGCACCAACACCATGCATTGCCACTTTGACCTTGACTTGTGTATGCACATTGTTTCTTTGTGAAGATTGGTAATTATTCCTTTTCTATCCACGACCATGATTATTACCTTGTCCACGACAAGAAATATGGTTCTAATTATGGCTTTGGTTTCGATTAAAATAGTCACTGCCTTGTTCTTGACCACGGCCACGTCCTTGTCCACATGTATTGTTTCGATGACCATCAATATTTGTAGCATTTACTTTAGGAAGTGCTACTGATCCCGTTGGACGAGATTCATGGTTTTTCATCAAGAGCTCATTGTTTTGCTTGGCAACAAGCAGGCATGCATTCAATTCAAAATATTGTGTGAACTTTTTCAACCGATATTGACGCATCAAGGTAATGTTTATTGCATGAAACGTAGAGTAAGTTTGCTGCAACATATCTTCATGAGTAACTTCTTGTCCATAATACTTGAGTTGTGAACATATTGTGAACAAAGCTGAGTTGTATTCATTTACTTTCTTAAATTCTTGTAACCTCATTGTTCTCCATTCATCTCTAGCATTTGGAAGTATAACTTCTTTTTGATGATCAAATCTTTCTTTCAAGAGATTCAAATCTCAACATTTCATCTATATGCTTATGAAGGAAAACTTTTGCTTTCGCCTTGTCTTGTATCAAGCAATTATTAAATTCATGTATAGCATTTAAGATTCTCATTGACTTAATATGAATTTTTACATCTATCATCCATCGCACATAGTTTTCCTACTAACTTCAAGTGCTGCAAAGTCGAGCTTTACAATGTTAGATGTATTGTAACTGTAACTTTTAAACAAAATAACAAGATGAAAATTAAAATTCATTTATTTCAATATGTATTGCACAAAATAGAAGCGAGAGAAAAATCATCCCGCACAAGACTAAGAAATGATAAAATAAATCAAGATAAAATACATCTGGTGTGGGATTGAAAATTAGGAAGCCAAGTGGTATAGTCACTATAGCTACCAGAATCACAAAGAGATGAATCATTTTGATATTGATAACCTTGAAAAGTAAGAGAATTTACTCTTTTGTGGCATAAAGAAATTTTATGGTGATGTTATTTATAGTAAAAAAATAAAGTCGTTGCTTTTGTTGTTTATAACCGTTGCATTTATATAGTCGTTGTGTATATATATTACATATATGTGTATCTATTTTATAAATCATTATAAGACATAAAAGTAGTATATAATTTTACTTGGTATAATTTTACTAATTAGAAACATAAATAAATATTATTAAATGTTTAAATAAAACTATGAAGAATATCTAAAATATAAATAAATAAACATTGGTATGTATACACAAACGTTAGTATATATATAAAAATTAGTTGCATAATTTAAATGATAGTATACATAAATAAAAATTAGTTACATAATGTAAATGCATAAATAAGAGTTAGAATACATAAATAAAGACTAGCAAAGTAAATAAATATCATCAGTCGTTAATAATGAATATTTTTTCATAATTCATTATTATTTTTAATATAATTATTGTTTTGTAATAAATACCATTTTTATTAAGTAATACTTACATTGAGTAGGATAGATGTGATTTACACTTGATTAGAGCTTTCGTATTGATAACATATTATAAATTCGACATAATCAAAACTAAAACTAACAAAACTAAACCAAAACATTATAAAATAAAATAAGAAGATTTGAGAGGATTCTTGAACACTTAGAAGATTTTATTCAAGATGGTATGATTTCCTTTTTACATTTGATGAGTATTTATACTACATAACATTATATTCATACATTATCAAAATAGTAATTCAATATGTAAAGGATATCGTTCAAGGGGTATAAATTATCCATCAAGATATATTGTCTAACTCAATACTTTCTCTCTCTCTCTCTCTCTATATATATATATATATATATATATATATATATATATATATATATATATATATAATTAAGTTCATTTGAGAACATTATTTATTGTGAGAACGTGAGAACACCATTGGTATATTATTCTTCTTTGAAATTAACCCTATATATATATATATATATATATATATATATATATATATATATATATATATATATATGCTATGTGCCAATCTGACCGGACCGGAGGGTCCAACGATTTATGAGGCCAGAAGCCCAAACCAGACCGGACCGGAAGGTCCAACGAGCTACGGGACTGGAGGGTCCCGCTGAGACACACTGACAAAAGGGTCGTACAGAGTATAAACATTATAAAATAAAATAAGAAGATTTGAGAGGATTCTTGAATACTTAGAAGATTTTATTCAAGATGGTATGATTTTTCTTTTTACATTTGATGAGTATTTATACTACATAACATTATATTCATACATTATCAAAATAGTAATTCAATATGTAAAGGAAATCGTTCAAGGGGTATAAATTATCCATCAAGATATATTGTCTAACTCAATACTCTCTCTCTCTCTCTCTCTCTCTCTCTATATATATATATATATATATATATATATATATATATATATAATTAAGTTAATTTGAGAACATTATTTATTGTGAGAACGTGAGAACACCATTTGTATGCTATTATTCTTCTTTGAACTTAACCCTATATATATATATATATATATATATATATATATATATATATATATATATATATATATATATATATATGCTATGTGCCAATCTAACCGGACCGGAGGGTCCAACGATTTATGAGGCCAGAAGCCCCAACCAGACCGGACCGGAGGGTCCAACGAGCTACAGGACTGGAGGGTCCCGCTGAGACACTGACCAAAGGGTCGTACAGAGTATAGCCTCGAGTGCCGAATTATTATATGTGGTATTTTGGGAAACTCACTAAGCATTCGTGTTTACCGTGTTATATATTATGTGTTTCAGGTACCCCGTAGGATCGCAGGAAGATACCGACGTGATTGTACACACACTCAAAATTTGGAGTTATGTTTGTGGATAATGGATTTAGACAATTGTTTGAAAACTTGTATTCATTTTTAAGAATTAATGATGAGACACGTGTTTTATGAATATTAAAAATGAAAAAAAATTTGGTTTAAAAAATCATGTTGTTACAAATTTAATCTAATTTATATTTATGACTAGAAGTTAGCTATTTGAATTGGTTTTTTAAAATTTTGTATATTATCATTTTCTACTAATACTAATAGTAGGTTGCAGTTGATCTTTCTTAGATATGATATTCTTATATTCTTATGTTTAATATAGATCAATAAATGTATCATGATTTGTATATTGTTCCGGATAAATTCATGATTTTATCAAACATCTAATCTTATAAAATGTGAATTGGATATTCAAAACAGTGTGTACATATTTATTTTAAAACAAAATTATAAACATACAGACAAACTTTTAATTTTGTATATTAATAAGTTTTTTATAAATATTTATTTATTCATTACGATTTCGAATTATGAATATCATTTTTTCTATTTTATCCGCGGTTTATGCAGGTTTAAAGCTAATAAATTATATGTAGGAACTAAGAATTATGAATGTTTGTTTTATTTCTAATCAAAGATATTTGATACCAACAATATATTTATCACTGTATGATATAAGACAAACTCAATAATTTGCACAAACATGTTTCACATGTAAGCAATAAATGACTAAGATAGTGTTTTACTGTTTTTCATAAATATTGTCCTTTTTTTTTTTTTTCTAGAAATAAAGTGAGATTAAAAAAACATCAGATATAACTTATTTTCTTTATTTTATTACTTAAATATTCTATTTTTTTCTTTAATGATCGGATTGTTACACATGATATCTTATTAATATTATATAAGGGTCACAGCCAAAAATAGTTGTATTGATAATATCATAATAATCTCTATTTCTATTTTTAATAAGATAAAAAAAAAAAAAAACTATAGAATATTACACATTAAAAGACAAATAGAACATAAACTAATGACACGATATAAAATACTTTACATATTCCTATATCTAATCTAATATCTTGTGCTGCAAAAAATTTAAGGGAAGTCCTCCTTTTAAAAAGTGGAGCAGCACCCTTTTTCATGGACCTACAGATCGTCTTGTCTCCTCTCTGAGTGACCCTCTCTCCGCCGCCTGCGTTTCCACGGCCACCAAAAATCACCGTGTTTCTTTTTTCCGGCGTTATCTCCTTCAAGTTGTGATTCAGGAATCAGAAAGTTCTTCCACTCCAGTAGCATTTTGCATGTGTATGTATGTGCTTGTCAGACGGCAGGCTGTCTGCGTAAGTTCAATTATTTTCTCTCCAGAAAGACGTTTGTTTATATGTTTAGTCTTTTTCTGTCTTTGTTTAATCACTTCGATTTAACTTTTTCCTACCATTTATGACTAAATGTTCGTACAGACTACAGCGTGACTTTTATCTACCTCTCATTCTCATCTTAATACTGAAGTCAACCTCAAAGTTGCTTCAGCTCTTAGTTTAAAATCTCTTCTGTTGATTCACTTCTGTATGTAACCATTATCAACTTCATTCTTCGTTATTTATCACTGGGAAGTTCGTAAACTCGTAAGTGAGTTTTTGGACAAAATCCTGGAAGCATTAGCTGTTATTTTTATGTTTATTAATGGATTGAACTCAGATGGTGACAGTGTGTACTGTAATTTCTAGGTTTTTGACTGTGAATGGATGCAAATGGTAAAACCTCAAAAACAGGGGAGATCAGCATGACGGAGAACAAAAGCGGTGAAGTGGTCCTAACAATCCCCGGAGAAGAGAAAGAAGCGAAACATGCGACCTTTGGAGCACCGAGAGATGCAAAACCGAGAGGTGTTCCCGAATCACCTCATAGAAAGTCTGTTGATTCATATCCTGAAAATGCATATTTCATGCCAAGCCCTAACAGGCCTCCTAAAATCCCCAATCCTGAAACCCTAACCAGGCGAAAAACCTTAGCAAGATCGATTTACTCCAAGCCCAAATCAAGGTTTGGTGAACAACCTTTAATTGATCACAACATGTTCGATGAAATGCATGAACCAGTAGGCCAGACCTCAAACTCGCCCATGAGGATATCAGCTCGAGCCTCCCCTAGAGTAGCAGGCAATACTACTACTGCTTCTCCAGCTGCTACACCAAGAACTTTGTCCATAACACCAAAGACTCCATTAATGGCATCACCTGGAGGTGCAGGGGGAGATGAGAGTGATAACGAGGAAGAGATTTATAAGAAGGTTAACATACGAAAGCAGTTAAAGCTTAAAAGGGTGAAGCTGAAAGTACTATTTCAATGGGTAGTATTACTTTTTCTTGTGGGTTGTATAGTTGCTAGCTTAACGATTCACAAGTTGGAAGAATACAAGATATGGAGCTTGGAGTTATGGAAGTGGTTTGTGCTTATAACAGTGATCATTTGTGGTATGTTAGTCACCAACTGGCTTATGCATTTCATTGTATTGCTGATAGAACTGAACTTCTTGTTGAGAAAGAAAGTGTTATACTTTGTACACGGATTAAAAAAGAGTGTTCAAGTATGCATATGGTTGATTGTAGTTCTTGTTACTTGGACATCACTGTTTAATAGCAAACACGTTGGAAGATCAAAAAACGCAGCCAAGGTTTTGGATTACTTGACATGGACCATTGTTGCCTTATTAGTGGGTTCAATCTTGTGGCTTTTAAAGACTTTCTTGCTCAAGATTCTTGCAACTTCATTCCACGTCAGCAATTTCTTTGATAGAATTCAAGAATCAATCTTTCTTCAGTATGTTCTCCACACCCTTTCAGGGCCTCCAGTTATGGAATCATTACAAAACGTTGGGGCCTCCACTAGTAAAAGCCAATTTAGTTTACAAGTAAAGAAGAATGGGAAAGATTCAAAGACAAAAAAAGAAGTGATAGATGTAAGTAAGCTTCATCAAATGAAGAGAGAAAAAGTGTCTGCATGGACTATGAAGATGTTGGTTGACACAATATCAAACTCAGGTCTCTCAACTTTCTCTGGTGAACTTGAAGAAAGCGCTTATTATGGAGAAGGAATTGGATCTGCAGACAAAGAGATCACCAGTGAAATGGAAGCCATTGCTGCTGCTTATCATATCTTTAGAAATGTTGCTCAGCCTGGTTTTACGTAAGAACTGAACATCTTTATATCTCTTGATTTTCTTTCAACAACTCTGAACACCTTCATATCTATTAATAAACATTGTAGATACATTGAAGATATTGATCTAAGGAGATTCATGATCAAGGAAGAAGTAGATATCGTGTTTCCAATGATCGATGTGGCTGAAAAAGGTCAAATCGATAGGAAGACTTTAACAGAATGGGTGGTAAGACTCCTTGTCTTGTCTCCTTCATATTTTGAGTAATTTCTGAATTGACATTGATGTTAAGGAAGTGTGTTGTTTACTTTATATACAGGTAAAGGTTTACAATGGGAGAAAAGCTTTAGCACATGCATTAGATGACACGAAAACAGCTGTGAATGAATTGAACAAACTTGTTACAGCAGTCTTAGTTGTTATAATCATAATTATATGGCTTCTTTTAACAGAGATTGCTACAACCAAAATACTTGTCTTCCTCTCTTCACAGCTTGTTGTAGCTGCTTTTATATTTGGGAACACTTGCAAGACTGTTTTTGAAGCCATTGTGTTTGTGTTCATCATGCATCCGTTTGATGTTGGGGATCGTTGTGTTATTGATGGTGTTCAGGTTCGAAATGAACATGTTATGGTATATTACTAATATTGTAATTAAATTTGTTGCATTTAAATGATTGGTTATGTGTTATTTTCAACAGATGGTAGTTGAGGAGATGAATATCTTAAATACAGTGTTCTTGAAATTTGATAATGAGAAGATATATTATCCGAATTCGGTTTTGGCTACAAAGCCGATTAGTAATTTCTATAGGAGTCCAGATATGGGTGATAAGGTGGAATTTTCTATCGATTTTGCAACACCATTTGAGAAGATTGGGTTATTAAAAGACAAGATAAAAAAGTAAGTTCATACACAGCGTATAATGTTGTGATAAAAAGGAAATTAATATGTGAATTATAAACATCAGGTATTTGGAGAAGAACCCTCAGTTATGGTATGCGAATCATAATTTTGTGGTGAAGGAGATAGAAAATGTGAACATGATAAAGGTGGCACTTATTATTAATCACACAATGAACTTTCAAGATTATGGTGAAAAGAATAAGCGAAGAAGTGAAATGGTTTTAGAGTTGAAGAAAATATTTGAAGAGTTGAAGATCAAATGCAGTCTTCTTCCACAACCAGTTCATCTGCAGCATCAAGAAACACCCACTCCAACTGGGCCCACCAAATAATCAGACATCTTCATGAAAGGTCTCATCTTTCTTTGCTATGAAACCATTAAGTTCTTAACCCATTAAGCCCATTACTAATTTGTTGTATTGGGGAATTTGAATGTTTGTGTATAGGGGATTGAGGGCAAGCTATATGAGGATATGAGACATCAATGGTGATAAAATCAGTGTTTGATTTTTGTAGCGATTAAACAAAACCATTGTGCTTTGGTTAATCGGTAGGATGGATTACTTCACTTATTATGCACATATATATGATGATTTGTGAAGGTGCAAATATTTGTTATGAAATTTCTATGTACTTGAGTAAAGTGTTTTATGATATTGTGTATTTATCCTACTGTTGGAACTTATCAATGTTTTTGCCTTCACTTATAACCAATTAAATGTTTTGGTCTTTAATTATGACCAATTAAATGTCTTCACGATGTTGGAGTATCTTGAGTGTATAATTTTATTTTTTAAATGACAAATCTAATCTAAAGTATTTTTAATTCCACTTATGTCGTAGATGAGGCATAAACTTTTGACCGTTAGGAAGGAGAACATCTAATATCGATATTGTTAGGTTAGAAGATCTTTTCATGTATGACCTTATTTAGAGTTTTATAATACATAAAACAACAACAATTTGGATAGAATTTAAAAAGTTGGAAAGTTGCAAAAAATCATGGTTTGGATTTGGCCTATCAATTTAACATCCATTTATTTTAAAATGATGACATCTATTAATTTTAATATGATGATTTAATATTTTAATAATCTCTCTACCTAATAAAACACTATACTAAATGCCACTTGTCCAACTATTAGCACAACATGTTGCCACGTGTCATTACTCCAGATTTCTACATCTTCATTTCCCGCCCATATAATCCCAACAGATTTTGTTCACATTCAAAACCCTACATATCAGCATAATTATCAGCATCAGCATAAATCAACATAATTAAGAAAAAAAATCGTTGGAGTTTATATGCATAAAAATAGGAACAGAATATGCAAAAATTAAAAATGCAGAGTTCGTTATTTTATGTGATGTATATCCTAAAATATATATCCTAAATATCTTAAACATCCTTAATTACCGGAATTTGAATCAATTCAAAATATTTGATATTGATTCCTGATTCATAGGCTAAATTATATACATCAACTATCGGTAAATATAATCCCACAGAATTCGACAGAACTGCACTTTCATTCACTGAAGTTTCTGTCACAGAGAACCAAAATCATCAGGTTAGCATATCATCATCAATTATTAGTGTTCATTCTTTTGATTTTTTAATTTGAAATCCTTCTTCTTCTACTTCTTCTTCAATCCGATTCTTACATGTAAGCAAACAACCTGTATTGCTAAACAGAGAATCAATCAAAACTTTTAAGTAATCCGCCAAGAAGGATAGTCCCAAATATCTGCATCATAATAATTGTTCTTTTCATTGATTGATATCCTTATTCTTCTACTTCTTCAATCCGATTCTTAAATGTAAGCAAACAAGCTGTATTGCTAAACAGAGAATCAATCAAAACTTCTTAAATGTAAGCAAACAAGTTGTATTGCTAAACAGAGAATCAATCAAAACTTCTTAAATGTAAGCAAACAAGCTGTATTGCTAAACAGAGAATCAATCGAAACTTTTAATCAAAACTTCTTCTTCAATCCGATTCTTTTCATTGATTGATATCCTTACCAACTATCCCTGTTTGAATTTTCTGTCAACCCCATATCTATTGTCCAATTTATTTTCATGCATGTGTACCATGTCTACATCATACTTCATGTTCGAATAGCAATGTAATATTATTTATTGTGTTATTTTGTTATTATCATATTCTATCATCATATTATTCTTTTCTAACAGTTTTATAACAAAACTTTTTTTCTCTAACAGTTTTATTTTTTGCAGTTCAATGGCAGCAGCAAATCTTACCTTCATACCTGATTTGGATGTAACCAGGGATGACTTGACCTTCAAGCTTCGTGTCATAAACCTTTGGCATCAAATGTGTTTCTACAAAAAAACTGAAATTTGGTCAATAGAAATGATCTTATTGGATAATCAATATCGAAATGCATGAATACTTTCTGTCAATGAGTGTTATAACTGAAAGCTTAAGTTTTTCATTTGTTACACATCTATACATTTTTTTTTATCATTTATAAATGAAAAAAGTTCTAAAGAAAAACAGCAAAAAAAAAAACCAGGTTAGTACTTCTTATTTGGTTTTTTATGTTGATTACTTTTATCTTTGCTTTATAAACATACATGGTACTCTTATTTAGTTTCTTATGTTCATAACAAAGGTACTTTGATAACAAACATAATATTGTATATTTTCATATCTAGGGTGAGTTTTGTATAAGTAACCATTTTTGTATTTATTTTGATTTTTGTCAATTTACTTTCAAATCATGGACTATTTATGTAATTTCTATTACTTAAGCAAAAAACAGGGACAATTTGTTAAAAATAGTAACAATATGTGTGTGTTTGTAGTATGTATTAAAGTACATTGCTATTTACTTTTAAAATGGATAATTTCTGTTAATTTAAAAAATAGGGACCATTTCTGTAAAATATATTTTCACCTATTTACCAATTTATGCAATTGACACGACTTATGAAATGTTTCATATGTTGGTCTTAAATGAAATGTGTTCTTTTACAAATATAGCCATGTCTTTTGAAAGTACATTGTTGTAATTTCTGTTTCTTAAGAAAAAGCTTTGCAACTTTACAAAAGAAAAATACCTTTACAACTTATAGCAATATACTTTGAAAGTACATTGCTATAAATTGTAAAAAAATATGGATATTTCTAATGTTGGACAATTTTACCCTTTATGCCATTGTATACCATAAGTGGACAACTTTAAGCTTCGGTTCAGAAAAAGACCATGTAATATATATCAAATGGTAGCACATTTTGAAAGTACCCGCTAGAACACGTTTATTTAGCACTTAGATAATTTTACCCTTTATGTCATTGTTAACCATAATACGTACTCACCATTAAGTGGCATTTGATAAATTTTTAATTTTGAAAAACATGGACCATTTCCGTTAAATAAGTTTTTTGTGAATTTTTATACTTTATACCCTAAAAGTAGAAGTAATTTCTGTTACTTTTGAAAAACAGCAACCATTTCTGAATTTTGTTTTCATTTATTTAAAAGAAAGTTTATAACTTATATCAAAGTACTTTCAAAGTACATTGCTATAAATTCTAAAAAAATTGTTTTCTTTTTAAGTAAATTTGTTTCCCCTTTCATTCAATTTTATTTCTTACACAATGTATTTGAAACCAAACTTACCACGTTCTGCATCCTTTATGTTTTCACCATTTCAAATAGCAACTTCACACTTAATAGCCGAACCAAAATATCATCATTTAATCCAAACCGAATACGTTTATCTAAGAGAAAACAACAAGACCCTTAACAAAGGGGTTATGCGTAAGTACCTCATTTGACTACAACAAAATTTTAAGGCATTATATTAAATATTTGGATTTTTAAAGACACCACCAAAACAAATTATATACTTAACTTTTAAAATCTTTTTTTTTCTTTTCATTTTTATCATAACACTTGTGTTTATTAGAACAAGATTCCAAAATAAAACAAACACCCATTTATCGAATGTATAACCGGGTTTTTACCCAAAATCATATACTAAATCCCTTAAATACATAACTGAAACCTCTTCTTTTCGAAATTAATCACAATATCCTAATTATAACTTAATTGATGTGAACCGATTTCTATCATATACTATAAAAAAATCAGTAATTTCACCAAAAAAATGAAATACAGGAGCGAGAAGTTGATTTTTTTGAGAGATACAATAGACAATTTAGGATTCAATTCCGCCCCAAAATCAACGAATAATACTTACATTCTACATGTCGAAACTTTTGTACTCCATAAGTTGTTCATCTTCTCCAAAAAAAAACCTAATTCTTTACCGGTTCTTAATCGCAGTCGCCACTTCATCGGTTCAATATCCAATAGGACCGCCAGTAAAATCAGATTACAAACGACACCTGTGCGCCATTTTTATTCATAACCCTTTGAAGGGATTTCGATCTCTTTGCCGGTATGACTGAATGCTTACGTTTTTGAGTAACATGTTTTCAATATCACTCCTACATCTAACATACAATTTACTCCCTGTAGGTTTAGTCTTATTTTTATCTTAGTCCTTCTATTTTATTGATTATTTAAGTTATGCCAACGTAGTTGCTTTTTAAACAAAGTCATCTTAACTATTTTTTTTTTTCTTTACGTTAATTTACACTAAATTGTTATAATTATAAAAATAGCACCGTGGTTTCCACGGGTTATAACCTAATTAATAGTATATTTGTTATTAATAATCATTGTTACTATTTTATTAAAGAGATAATGACTTGAAAGAGTAATGAATTTTTAGCATTGTTGATATTTAGTCACTGAATTTTTTTGTATTTGATTTACCCATAAATTATTTGAAATTGTTACATTTTACCCTTATGACCGGTTGTAACGATCAAAAAGTAAAATGTGAACAGTTTCAAATAATTTAGTGGTAAATCATGCATGAAAAAAAAATTTCAATGATTAAATACGAAAAAGATTGAAGGTTTGCTACTCATTATCTCATAAAATCATGATCATGTTGTTGTAATGACTTGAAAGAGTAACGAACTTTCAGCCCTGTTCACATTTAATTACTGAACTTTTTTTCGTACTTGATTTACTCTAAATTATTTAAAATTATTCATATTTTACCCTTATAACCGGTTACATGGTAAAATATGAATATTTTCAAATAATTTAGAGGTAAATTAAGTACAAAAAAAAAATCAGTGACTAAATGTAAACAAAACTAAAAGTTTGTTACCCTTTTAAATCATTATCCCTTTATTAAAATTATTAACCTAAAAGAAAAATAAATTTTCAAAAAAGCCATTAAATAAAAACATTTTATCTCAAAAACATTATTTTTTTCCAAAAAAAACATATATATATATATATATATATATATATATATATATATATATATATATATATATATATATATATATATATATATATATATATATATATATATATATATATATATATATATACCTTAAAAAGCATTTACAAATTTTTTTACAAATTTTAAGAGGTACAAATAATTACCCATGGTTTATGCATTAAAGAAAAACAAACCTTATCGGTAACTCACGTCAAAACTTGAAACAATATTCCCTTAAAGACAAATGAGTATTGTTATGCAAATAGAATCTGTGGCTAATTGAATCAGTCAACAATTGACCAAGTCGACCCATATGGCCATATCTCTTCCCTATTCATCGGCACCTTCTCCTTTGAAACCCTAAGCTTATGTGTTTTTCTTACTTCAGATTTAAATACTCTTAACATTTCCATTATTGCCTTGATACAACCACTCTCTCTCAACCGAAACCATGGA